ATTAATACTAAGATTAGATTAGAGGGTTTAAATGAAACATTTAAGCAGGGGTGTTAGATACAGCAACTGGTGAGGAACCCTCAAGTGGACTTCTTAAATAGATAATATAGAAAAGTTATATATGTAGCCAGTTGTACACTTGTCTAATAGTTCAATATGGATACGTTTGTATAAAACATATACTCAACATAAGTATTAATAAAAAGCTAGTACCAAAGAGATCACCTTAATACTGAAAAAAAAATAAATAAATAAAATAAACAAAGAGTAATCTTAAGTACATTAAATAATATTGTTAAAAAAATTAATCAACAAATATTAAAAAAACTTTCTGGTAATACTAAAGATGAATATACTTACTATTCTGCTGATTTGGTTGAAAATAAAGATGAAGTTAATTTAAGCCTTTATTCATTAGAATTTTTAAATAAATTAACTCCAAGTAGAATGCCATCATATCATTTAATATTAAAAGAAAATATACTAGTTATTCTTTTAAGAAACCTTAATCTTGCAGAAGATTTATATAATGGTATAAGATTAATTATAAAAAAATGTTATAAAAATATTTTAAATACTAAAATTTTAACAAAAGTCAATTAAAGAAAAAAAATATTTATACCTTGAATAAGATTATCATCATCAGATTTTAACCACCCATTTACATTAATTAGAAGACAATTTTTTATTAAATTATTTTTTATAATGACAATTAACAAAGCTTAGAATCAAACAATTTCAATTATAAGATTATATTTGTCTAAATCAGTCTTTACATATGGGCAATTATATGTAGCTTTGTCAAAAGTCTAATCAAAAGATAATATTACTGTTTTAGTTAAAAATAGAATTGTAGAAAGAAAAGAAGGTGTTTATATAAAAAATATTGTATATAAAGAAATTTTTAAATAAATATTTCTATATATTTATATTAATATTTTTATATATTTTGTATTAATATTAGTATATAATTTGTATTTATATTTTATATATATTTTATATTTATATTTTGTAATTATTTTATATTTACATTTTATATATTTTATATTTAAATTATATATATTTTATATTTATAATTTATAATTTGTATATAATTTATTTATATTTTACATTTATATATTATATATATTTTATATTTATAATTTATAATTTGTATATATTATACCCCAGATGCAAATCAGCCTAATTGTTAATAGGAGCAGCCCAGATTGCAATTTGATTTTAAGCTACCAATTTTGTCCCATATGCAAATTGCAAATCATTATAAATAAATTAGCCAATTAAAATAAACAAATATCAAATCATATAAATATCTAAAATATTACTATACTATATAGTAGAAATTTAATAAACATTTCAAATAATAATACTATAATTATATATTATACTTTTATATTAGTTATTTGTTATTATAACTAATATAAAAAAAATAAAATTTTAATTTTATTGATTTTTACATTAAATATTATTGGAATGACAATGAATACTACAAGTTGCACCTGTTTTTTTATATTTACAATAATTTTTCAAGCAATTACCTTTGCAAAGGTATTTTGTAACAGTTATAGAACCAGAGCTTTGTTAAATAGCAGCTTCACAAGCACTTATACAAGTGTTGAGAATATTTACAAGCTTGGAGTATTCTTTAAAAGTTTTGGAAATAGAAACTAATTTAATAGCTAAATAATGTTCATTTAATCTTCTATATTAACATCCTAAAATGTATATATCATTCTTGGTAATTTCTAATACTTTACAGGATATGTATCAATAATCAATACCAGTACAGTCAACTCAGAAATTTGAACCTGAACCAAATCATTTAGTTCAAATTTTCATAGATGTTTTCTTCCTTTTTCTATTTGCTGCCTCATTTTTTCTGTATAAACTTTCAGGTGCTTAGTAGCCTTAGCCTTAATAACATTTTGGGTCATGTAAAAGAATGAAAATAGATGTAAACCTTGATTTTTAAAAAAAAAATAAAAAATAAAAACTAAGTATTAATTCTTGTTCATTTTAAGCAAGTTTATATCAAAAGACAAAAGGCAAGTACTTTTATAGCTTATTATTTTTTTTACTAATTCAATACTTATTATTTGTGTGATCATATCATTTAATGATAGTCTCTAGAGTTAAATAATTGTTTCAAATTTAAATTTTGGTCAAATAAATAAATAGATAAAATAAAATAAAATAATAAAATAAAATAATAAAATAAAATAAAATAATAAAATAAAATAAAATAAAATAAATTTTTATTAAAAAAAAATTTAAATAAAAAATAGAAAAATTTGAAAAAAATTTAAATAATAAATAGCAAATAAAATATAAATATATAAAACATTTGAATTTCATATTTAATGCTTAGTTATATTTACTAGGTTATTTATAGTACTAAATAGTAGCATTAAGTTATTACTTATTACTTAATACTAATTATACTTACTACTACATTAAATGGTAGTGGCAGCAGTAAACTCTAAAATTCAAAGATAAGTTATTATTAAATTTTTTCTAATTAAGTTATTACTTCTTACTTAATACTAATTACACTTATTATTACATTAGATAGTGGTGATAGTGGCAAACTCTAAAATTTAAAAATAAGTTGTTATTATATTTTTTTCAATTAAAGCATTACTTTTTACTTAATATTAACTACACTTACTACTACATTGGATGGTAGTGGCAGCAGCAAACTCTAAAAGTTCAAAGATTAGTTGTAATATTTTTCAATTAAGTTATTATTTCAGTTATTGTTTACTTAATACTAACCTTACTTATTATCATATTGGGTGGCAGTAGTAGTGGCAAATCCTAAAAAATCAAAGATAAGTTGTTATTATATTTTTCAATTAAGTTATTATTTTAGTTATTGTTTACTTAATACTAATCTTACTTATTGCCATATTGGGTAATAGTAGCAGTAATGAATCCTAAAAATCAAAGATAAGTTGTTATTATATTTTTTAATTAAGTTATTACTTCAGTTATTGCTAGCTTAATACTAACCTTACTTGCTGTCACATTGGATAATGGTAAAAGCAGAGAATCCTTAATAATTAAAGATAAATTATTATTATATTTTCTAATTAAGTTATTACTTCAATTATTACTTATTCAATACTAATCTTACTTACTACCATATTAGATGATAGTAGTAACAGTGAGTTCTAAAATATCAAAGATAAGTTGTTATATTTTCCAATTAAGTTATTACTTCTTACTTAATACTAACTACATTTACTACTACATTAGGCAGTAGTGAAAGTGGTGAATCCTTAAAGATCAAAGATAAATTATTATTGTATTTTCTAATTAAGTTATTACTTCAATTATTATTTATTTAATACTAATCTTACTTATTACCACATTAGATGATAATAGCAATGGTGAATTCTAAAATATCAAAGATAAGTTGTTGTTATATTTTCTAATTAAGTTATTACTTTTTATTTAATACTAACCACATTTACTATTATATTAGATAGTGGTGGCAATAGTAAATTCTAAAATTTAAAATAAAAACAAATAGTTATTTTTTCAATTAAAATAATACTTATATAATAATATTATATTTCTAAAAGCTTACCATATTTGTTACATTAGGTGGCAACAGTAGTGGTAAAGTCTAAAATTTTTAAATTATAGTTAGCTAATTGTTTTAATTGAATATATATTTCTTATTCATTTTTTAACATACTCTTATTAGATGAAAACAGTGAAACCTAAAAATTTTAATATAAATACAAATTATTATTCAAAATTTCAAATTTAAGCATTGGTAATTAATAATTTTTATCATATCCTTATTAAGTGATAGCAGTAGTAAAAACTAAATTAAAAAAAAAAGATAAGTATAAATAGTTATTTTTTATTTAAACCATTATTATTAATTACTAATAATTACTATATTTTTATTAGATGGCAACAGTGACAAAACCTAAAAGCAAACATGATCAATTATTTTTTAATTGAAATGTTATCTGGTTCAACAGTTATTGCATTTCTGTTAGGTGAAGATAGTGGTAAAATCTAAAATGTCAAAACATATAAGCTCCTATTCTTTAACTAAATATTATCTTTTACTCAACGCTTATTATATTTTCTACAACATTATTTGGTAACAGCATTAGTAAGACCTAAAATTCCAGAGTTAAATATAACAATTATTTCTAAATCATTTTTTCATTCAATACTTTCAATACTTATCATATTTTTTCCCATATTAGACAGTAGCAAATTCTAAAATTTTAAAGATAAGTAATTTTAAGTTTAATATTAAATTCAGGTTTAATTTCTTATTTATGCTTACTATATTTATTATGTTTGGCAGCAATTGCAACAAAATCTAAAATTTTAGATAAATATAAACATTATTTTAAATAAAAGTATTTATTAACTTTTGTTTAATACTTATTATATTTTCTATTATACTAGGTAATAATAGCAATGATAAATCCTGATTTTTTTTTTTTTTAAAGAATGATTTCACATTTTAATACTTACTTATAACTATAAATTTTTAATACTAATATTACTATGATACTATATGATAGTGATGATGATAACCAATCCTGAATTTTTTTTTTGTTTTGTTGAATTAAGAATAACTTAATATTTTAATACTTAATTATAATTATTTATTTTTTTTCTTATTTTAATATTACCATTATGCTAGGTAATAGTAGTAAATTCTAAAATTTTAAATAATTCACATTTCAGAATAAGTACTTCTAATTTTTAGATACTCTTAATACTTATCAGATACTGTAGCATGCTATTAGGTGAGAAATTCTAAAAATTTGAAATAAATTTTTATCTAGTTTCTTGTTTCTATTTTTATAAATAAAGTTAATGTTTATCATAAAAAACATGCTATCACTGTTATTATTCTTGCTTTGTAATAAATTTTCACTTCAATTTTCATTAAACACATTATTTATATCATCATTTTTATCATTTTTTATCTGGATATTATCCTTATTGTTATTATCAAACTAAATATCATAATACTCTTCAATTTGAACATTATTAGGAATATTTTCCTCATTTCTAATTTCTTGAGACCAAATCTGGTCAAGAAGAACACAATTACTATAAGGTTCAAAACCAAAAACTAACTCAAATAGTTTTTTGTTAGTAGCACAATATATAGATAAATTCATTAAATAAACTATAGTTGCCAAACCAACTGTTTAATATAAATTATCATTTTTATTTTGTTAATCTTCAAGTTATTTTTCAAGTTTATCTTTTAATACAAAGTTTATCCTTTTTATTGAACCTTAAGTTTGTGGTTTTCTTGGCTTTTCATGAATAATTTTAAGACTTGGCCAAAGTTTTGTAAAACTATTAATAATCTTTGCAATAAATTCACACTTATTATCATTATATAGAAAAATTGACAAACTAAATATAGTAAAGATATTAAACAAAAATACAGCCACTTTTGCTGCATATTTATCTATAAGAATGCAGGTCTAGGAAAAACATGTAAAGTGATCTTTGGTATGTGCTATCCATTTAAATTCATCATTTTTTCTGGTTTATATATCTATAAGATTGATCTAATAAAAAAAATTGAGTATTGCAAAGGAAAAAGCCCGAATTTTTAAGTTTTCCCTTTGTAGCATTCAAATAAAAAAAAAATTAGTTAAATGATAAATAAGTTTATAATATAAAATAAGGTTTAACCAATTTATAGTTCATACTATATACTTGAAGTCATTGCATAAAAAACTTGCTGATAATAGGTTTTATAGTTAAAATTTTGATAGATAATCTGTGCATTTTGCATGTTTTATATTTTTCAACAAATTTATCAACTAAGCACCTTTTTATACTATGATATTTATCTATACTTGTTTGTAAGTAGCTTTAGCACCCTTATGTTTAATAGCCAAATGTTTTTCTGTAATAATATAATATAATCTCTTTTTTAAAGCAACAGGTTTTCAAGTATTTGATTTTTCTTTGTGCATTAATATTACAATAACACCAACTCTTTAATATGAATAATTATTCTTAACTTGGTAATGCATATTAGGGTTTGCAATATGGGTATCTTGAAGATTATATAAAATTTGTAAATATTCATTAGCAATATTCTCTGAAATTAATACTTTAAGATAATAAATATTTGTTTATAATTTCATTAAATATTTGAAGTGCTAAAAAGGGATATTTATTAAGTGAAGCTATTAAGAAAGAAAATTAAAATTAAAAAGACTACTTATTGTATTTATTGCATTTTTAATTCTATCATGATTAGTATTTTTAAACTCAGACTATATATAATGTAATTAGCAGTAATTTTTATTATAATACAATTTATAAAATCAACTTTTTTATAATAAATTAATAGTTTTTATAATAAAAAGTTTT